TCCCCCCAGCCCAGCGCTGGCAGAGACCCCCCATGCCTACTGCCCTGTGCCAAGGCACCCCTGCCCACCGCCCCCAGCACCCATGCTGGGCACGGCCAGTCCCACCCAGGCATGGGGTGACCTGGGGCACGGGTACCTGACCCGACCCTCCCCATCGCAGACCAGCTGGGGTCTCTCCTGATGGAGCGGAGTGGGGAAAAACATTTCGGTGGATTTTTTTTCATATTTTGCTTTTCATTCAGGATGAATGAGGATTCATGCCGTTAAAAGCATGGGGCCAGTCTGCACCCCCACTGCAGCTTCCCTCCACACAGACACTGAAAGGCACCGGTTTAGCAGCCCTGGGGTAACGTGGCCACCTCTGGGGTGGTGCTTACTGACATCTCCCCACCCCGGGACAGCCACGAGGGGCTGCGGGGCTGGGAGAAGGTGCTCCCCCCATCCCCCCCAGGACAGCCCTCCCCAAGCACAGCAGCCCCCCACATCCCTGACCCCATTAGTAAGAAGAGGCGAGGGAGTTAGTCCAGCCACGGGAATCCTACCCAGAGCCACTGTCCCCAGTACAGCAGGGGGAAGAGATGCTTCAAGGCGGGGGGCAGCCAAGCCGCAGCTCACTCCCGTGCCCGGCGGGCAGCGGGGAAGGCAGGGAGCAGGCAGGGGATGCAGAGAAGATAGAAAGTTTCTTACTCATCAATTTTATCGGGAAACCCCCAGCAGTGCTGCGGGTTGGTGTCTCCATGGCCTGTGTGGATGAAGCTGTTTTTAAGCGGCTGGCTGATGTCGTGGGCTGACAGCCCCGCCACTGAGGGCACCGTGTTTCGGGGGAACTGGCCCACTTTTAGGGTCCGCTTATTCTGACCCCGCCACCAGTAATTCTCGGCCCTAAGGAATAAAAAGGACCTCGTTACTGACGAGGGGATGGGAGGGGGATGGGTGTCTGCCCCAGTGACGGGGAGGAGGCGAGGTGACTTGCCCAAGGCCACGCAGGCAGGCAGTGGCACAACTAGGAGGGGAACTCAGGCGCCCAGGATCCCAACCCTATGCCAGCAGCACACTGCCTCCCACCCTGCATGGCCCCTGCACCGGGAGGTGCCGGGGATGTGGGCGGCCAGGAACAAAGCTCCGCATTTGCACCTGAGAAGATGCACCTCCTCCTCCCAGCTGCCCCAAATTATGCAGGAGCCTTGGGGTGATGCCTGCACAAAGCTGCTCACCTCTGGTCCCACTGCCCCACGCAGTTGGGGACAGCACAAGGGATGTGCACGGTGTCTGCTGATGAACCCTCAAATATCCCAGTCCTGCAGGGGAAACTGGGGGGGCACGGTGGGGGACAGGGGGCTGGAAGCTTTCCCTTGCTCCCTCCCCATGTTACCAGCGAGCCCCGCGTAGGCTGGCATGGGCAGGGGGGGAGA